ATATATATATATATATATATATATAAGCCGTTAAGAAATTTTCACTTTTCCGTATAGGTACGTATATACGAATTAATATACGTCGTGTAGGGAAAGTTATATAATGCTGCGGAAAATCGAATTCGAGATCTCAACGGAAATACACGTTTTGAGGTCCCCTGATACCGAAAAGGTGATTAATTTCAAAACGTCCGTCTCTCCGTCTGTGAACACTACTACGCTCCTAAGATATGCGTAGGATTTTTTACAAATTGAAGAAACCCCTGTCCATCTGCTTCAAGTCGAGCTTCGCGATTTTGGAAAACATTCTTTAAAATTTGGGAGTACTTTACATGAAGCCATTTTCAGAATTTTCCCAAAAACAGCTGCAAACGTTTTCTTTAAATCTTTTCCAAGAATAAGGTAACACGACTTATAAAAGGTCCGATTTTAACGGTTAGCTCTGAATTGTCGAATATTTCAAAAGTATTTTTTTTTTCGGAATCTTCCTACAACTACAAAATTAAAGATAGACATTTTTCCTTCAAATGAAATTTGTTATCCATAATTAGTTCTTTTATTAAGGTCCTGCATATTTTTTAAATCTTTGAGAAGATTTGGCGCAAAATTGCGTGCAATATTTGCAATTTTAGAAAATAACAAAAACAAGATTTTCTCAATAACGGCTACAATTTTTTACGTTTAAACGTTTGGTAGGGATTGTACTAAATTCACTCAATACGATGACAAACTCTATATCGCTGTATTCTTTTGTTTTTTGACTGGTCTTCTCATGTAATTAATATTTACATTGGCAGAAATTTATTTACATAATGTATTAATTTGTTTTCGCAAATTACACAAATGTAATTTTTCTAAATCTCTCACGCCTACAAAATGCACATTTCCACCGATTTGTAAACACTATTTCATATGTGATTGGTAGTGCTTGAAATGACGTCATATGAAGTTTTTCGAAAACTCAATAGTTTTCTGTTAAAAAGAGATTCAAATTACGAATTTACAGTAGCGCTTAAATACCATCTTCGTAAAAACGGCTTCAATTTTATCAAAAAAGAATTACCATTTTGAACGAGGTTTTACTGTTCTTTAATATTCGTAAAATAATATTTCCGTTCCCTTATTAGGAACCCAAACATTTAAAAAAAACTCTTAAAACATGTTCTTTGGCAGCCAGAGTTGGCAGCTGGCAATGGTATGTTGCATGTCCAAATACCTAGCCGAGACAAACTGAAATAAAAAACTGATACGGAATAGCCTATGCCATTCTGTAGTACCACTAGTTATTTTCTCGTATACAAACACATATACCGTGTAAAACACGAAGTATAGAAAAATTTATGTAATGCTACGTAAGATCAATTCCGATGGAAATAGACGTATTGGGATCCCCTGATACCGAAAAAGTAGTTTTTTAGGTTTTACGGCCCCTTCGCCCGTCGGTGTGTTGTATCACACTTCTTTGGAAAATTTAATATGGATACAATAGCAATCAATGCCTCTGCGCTGTAACAAAGGTAGAAGCTTAACTGCCAGTATGCTGATCCACTTCCGACAACAACGTCGCACTCGTTTGCTTCATTAGACACATTCCTTAATAGGGGGCGTATTGAAATGAAATATTTTTTTCTTTTCACTTGAGAAGTTTTTCAGAAATTAATTTTATCTTATGACATAAGAAAATCACTCATTTTCATATTGCATTTTTTGCATTTTTCGCCGCTTTCGATTAATAATCATTTTTTGTGTTTTTCCGTCATTTTTAAAGCATTTTTCGTAGATTTCAACGATTTTTATACTTTTGTGCTACTTGCTTCAAATAATATTTACGAGATACCTGAAATGTTTTCGATAGAATTTTTGAGTATCGTATTAGATATCTTTCCTCAAAAAGTATGTCAGCCATTATGAGCCTGCAATCTAAGGTTCCTCTGATGTCTTTCAGGGTCACTGCCAGTTCGGCCGATTTGCGATAACGAGACAGGAACTTCCTGAAAAAGAGCCATCCAAACCAAAAGTTTGTAAGCTGAGTTCACTTGAACGAAAGGCAGAAGTCTAGATTACATCAAATATTTTGATTTGTTCATCTTAACTGGTTTCTATTACGTAATTTTTCGTTGCTTTTGGTAGAGTTTTTGAAACACATTAAGAGAATTTTAACGATAATTTTTGGCGTTTTAGGATTTTTAGATCAAAATCCGCCTCCATGTTATTACTCTCGAATTTAGTTGTACGTGTTTTGACATTCATATATAAAGCTTTACAGTGCAGGGTTTGCGTCAGTAACTTTTCTCTCGCAGCGTAGCCGATGTGTGCGCTCGCGAGATCGTTGCTGGTTGGGAGAACTTCTTCCTGATGGCTCATGCATCTGTTGTAGTTATTCGCTTCTAGAGGTCCAATTGTAAATTGCTCTCTCTTGAACTCTGCGTCCGCGTGCGCGCTGGTGGTGTAGTTGATTTTATCGCGAGCTGGACGATCTTTAAGGAGTGTGGTTGTTTGTGCTTCAGCGTCCCTAGTTTCGAGTCCGTGAGCGCGCTGCTGGTCTAGTTGATTGTGTCGCGAGCTGGAGGTCGTTGACTGAGTAGTGTGGTTGTGCATGTACTGTTCATAACGTGTGGCTGTTTGCGTTGCAGCGTCGCTGGTGTTTGCGTCGGCGGGCGCGCTGCTGGTGTGCGCGGCGGCGCTTGCCCCGCCTGCTGGAGGACTCGGGCGAGAGGAGAAAGCGTGAGGGGCGGAGGCTGCGGCTGACGGCGGCGCAGGCGGGTGGGTGTGGCGGCGTGCACGCGGCACGGTGCGGGCGCGGCGCCCGGCGGGTTGCTGGCCGCGCGCTGGGCGGCGGCGCGGCGCTGCTGGCGTGCGCGCCGCCATGCTGCTGGCGTGGCTGGCGACGGCGTGGGGCGGCGCGGCGTGGGCGCTGCTGGCGGCGGCGCGCGCTGGGCGGCGTGGCGGTGGGTCGTGGCGTTCGCCCGCGGGCCGCTGTACGCGGCGGAGGCGACAAGCGCGCGGCTGCGCGGCGGCGGTGCGCGCTGCCGCAGCTGGCGCTGAGCGCGGCCAGTGCTGGCCTTACTTGCGGCGGGCCGCGTGGCTTCGCTGCGGGCGCTGCGCTTTCGTGGCCGCCACGCTGCCCCGTGGCCTTCTTCGGGCGCTCTACGCCGCGCCCGAGTCGCCGCACTGGCTGCTGCGCGCCGGGCGCCGGGCGGACGCCGCGCGCGCGCTGCGCCGCCTGCGCGGGTCGGGGCCGGCGCAGGAGGAGCTGGACGCGGAGCTGGACGCCATCGAGGCGTTCGCGTGCGCGGAGAGCGCCGAGGGCGCGCCTAGCGGCGCGTACGGGGAGATGCGCGCGCTCTTCGTCGACGCCGCCGTGCGCCGCGCCCTCTGGATCGTCCTGGGGATGGTGGGGCTGCAGTGCATGTGCGGCTACACCGCCTTCCTCGCCTACTCCACCGTCATCTTCCAAAAGAGCGGCGACGCACTCGACGCCAACCACAGTGGAATCGTCGTCGGCGTCATTTTGGTACGTAGAAACGTCAATATGCAGTTTTCAGTGTGTATGACGACTATTCGAATTTTCCGCACCTGCTCGCCAAGATTCAATGGCAATGTAGATGGTGATGTCACAGGGAACCAGGAGAGTAATTTTAATGTTCCACCAGATAAGTTTGCACATAAAACTGAACTCGTACGCAAACCCCATATTAGAACCATTTGTATAACTATATTGTAGAATCCACACAGCGAGAAATTTAAATCTGATGAGGGAAGGTTGTCCTGACTACCAATCGACGCTGATGGATTTTCAATATTGATGTCAAATGTTTCTCGGTCCGCTTCTACTTAGAAGGAAACCTTCAATATTTAACAGGAAACGTACAAATAGATTCAATTCTTCCACAATCTCTTATGTAAAATCAATTTAATATCTCTTTATTTACAAAATATGAATAGAACGTTTTTCAATGTGTTGTCAAGTTTTCTCTTTCTTTCTTTTAATTGTCATTGCGAAGAAAATCTTCTCACAACAGTATGTTGACCCAAACATTGATATTATCTTCGCTTATTTTATGAAGCTTGAAAGAGACTTCCACAAATAAATTTTGATACCACAGCGACAAATTAAGACAAGGATATTAAAGTATGTCTTGTAGAAGTATAGAGTTCTCAAAATCTTATCTCCAACTGTATCAGGGGTATATGGTATAAGGTGAGACAGAGAAAGGGATTGTGGTGCCACCCATCGCACTACTCATATTGCTTCCATGAAAAGCAAAGCAAAAGTGAGAAGAGCTCTTTCCTCTCCACAAATCTTCTCGACTGGCCACAATTGCACGCGGGCGCCTATGCCAGCGAGAAGCCATGAAACTGCTTGGCTTAGAGCGTCATGGATAATGGCATCAAGTAACTTTTCTGAAGATAATTTCAAAAAATGTAAAAGTATTTTAATATTAAATCTTCAACCGCAAATATTAAAGATTATATTCTTATTAATTATTATAAGTTCAGGATTTAAATATTAAAAAAAGGTATATCTTGATTTCCTAGGCTTCCATCTATTTAAGATATTAAATCGCCTCTTTGTCCCAGGGTCCAATTTATATTTCCCGCTAGCCAAAAAAATCAATTGAAACATCCTCCCTGTGAGCGAGAAAAAGAAATTGAAAGTGACGCATGTTGTGCAGGTGGTGGTCCAAATTGGGCTGTAGAATCTGGATTTTGAATTGCCTGTCTCCGTGGCCCCTCACCCTTGTCAGCTTCTTGTAACATTTAATGAAGTGATGTATTTCCATCCGTCAACACCATACCTAAACCGACATGTGTGTTTCAGAGCAAGCCGAAGAATGTGAATCTGGTGCTTCATTTTCTATCTGTGTCGTTCCCCACTTTTACTGTCATTTCTCAAATCAAATCGTCTAATATGCTCCGTGCGTGCGCAGCTTTTGATGTAATTTATCTCGTCGATGGTGCACGATTTTAAATCCCCATGCCCCCCGCTCTTATTGCCGTTTCTCAAAGCAAGTCGTGTAATGCGTTGTCCTCGCGTGCGCAGCTGGTGATGTGCCTCATCTCGCCGGTGGTGGTGGACCGCGCGGGCCGGCGCTTCTGCCTGCTGGTGTCGTGCTCCGTGGCGGCGGTGGCGCTGCTCATCGAGGGCGGCTACTTTTACGCGGCGGAGCGCCAGCTGGCGCTGGCCGACGCCTTGTACTGGCTGCCGGTGGTGGCGCTGGTGGCCTTCTTCATCGCCTTCACACTGGGGCTGGGCCCGCTGCCCACCACCGTCGCCGGGGAGGTGTTCCCGGCGCACGCG